TGGAAGCCTTAAGCATTCCTCTTTCAAGCACCATTAAGGATGCCAATGGTTTATTATTTAATGCAAAAATGAAGGGGGAAAACCAGTTAATACTACAATGTGCATTGCCTTGGCAATATTATCTGACACGCCTTAACACAATAGGATAAAGCCAAATTAAATTTAAGCAATAATTCAAAATCACATTATAGTATGGGAGGGGCACCCCAAAGTAAAAGGGGCTCCTGATGCAACTTGATCTAAATGGTAACTATTTTGTGATACCCCAAAAGCACTCAAGAAAGCCCAGTAATTTTACCAGCAAATTCTGTCTCAGTAAAGCAGCAAGGTGTTTTTAGTAATATTTTTTTTATTGGACTAACACAATGGGAGAGCTTCCAAAAGCTTGTTTAACATTTCTACCGATGATAAAAGGATATTACCAAAAAAACAAAACAAAACCCTCTTGCTTACTGTACATTCCCTGAGCTATCGCAGCCACAACATCACGCTTAGCTTTTCAAGTAGGACATTAATTCAGTTACAATATAAGTATATAAACCATAGCTGAGATGCATCAACCTGCAGCTACTGCTAGGGATGATATGCAAAATGAAGTAGACCACAGATGCCAAAACACACACCATCATTTGTGTTTTAGCATGTTGTTCACATTGATTATTCCTTACCTGGTCCAAACGCTTTCCACGGACTGCTCAACATAACCACACGACTCCAGCTAAGTCCTGTACAAAAATAAGTTACGGTTGACACTATAGAGCATAACTTACCATTCTCATTGTGTCGGTCCTGAACCAAATGCTGATAGACTGAATCTGGGACTTCAGACTGGCGATAGTACCATTTGACATTCATAAGCAGATGGTCCCGTTTACTCTGAAAAAGAAAGTCTAAGGCATTACTGAACAGGAATTCAGATCTTGGCTGCCACAAAAATCTTCCAGAACTCAAGTAACATTGAACTAAATCTGAAGGAAGGAAAATCAAAAGGGACAAAAATATTTCCATGACAATGAAACCCAGGGACAGCAGTACTTGTGGCACATGTGCTTTCCAAGCCGAATAAGACTAAAGAAAATGAGCATGCCATTCACACAGCCGTGTCACTTGGGCTATGCACACCCGACTAAACACACCAAACCATCGAAAAAATCTAAACAAAAACAACCATACAAGTAATGAGGTGGCAGCGTCCTTAGCCTCAAACAGCACCATGTCATCTTCTTCCCCATCGACTTTTGACAAACCAGAAGCAATTTTAGCCAGACACAAGAAGAGAGAATCACTTCCAACGGTGCTACTTGTGAACAGCAGTAAGATAAAGATCCCAGAAACCCTCCCAGAGAGGCTGCTTTACCCATTATGTTGTGGATTTTCTCTTGCATCTTTTTTTGGCCCAGGAGAATGAGACGTTGCACATTAATCCCAACATTTAGAGGGTCAGCATATTTAAATGCTTTAATAAAGTCAGATTCTGAAATTCACCCAGAACCATATCCTCACTGAATTGGTGCTACTTTGTTTAACCATCCAACTACTGTTTAGCCCCTTCTTAACCCAAAATTAAAATGCAAATACTATGCAATAAGAGAATAATTTTTAAATAAAAAGTGATTGCACACATAGAGTCTTAGCTCCGGTGAGCCTTTGAAGCCATGGCTCGCCAGTCCTTTCCACCACTCCTGAACACTTAAGGAAACACAGCAAGGCCTAAAGAAAAATTAACATTCTTTCAGAGTGAGGCAACTGCAAGCAGAGTGTTTATTTTTTTGCACTGCGGCTCTCGCACCACTTCCAGAAGTGCCCTTAAAAAAATGCAAATTTAAAGTTAAAATCATACATGGATTTTTTTCGTCAGGAAGTTCTTGCTGTCCTTCCAGCCCACATTCGCTTGTGATAGCAATGTCTGTGATTATTTAATCAAAAACACACAGGTCTTCCAATTACACACAGTTCTCTAAGCTAGTGATTAAAAAACACATGTAATACCATTAAAAAGCCAGCTAGTGGCAGCATTGTGTCAGAAAATAGACCCACACACAGCAATAATACCCTGTATGCTATACACCATAAACCTTAGAAACATTAAAAAAAAAAAAAACACACCCCACAAGCAGCAATGAAAACGTGTCCAAGCTTTATAAAAGAATCTGGACTTTATTACAGTTTTAGAGGAATAGCATACCTGCAGTCAAAGATAAAAAAATGTGTTTGATGCATGAACAAACTAAGTCTGGGAGGCAACAAGAATTCCTGCTGCCTTTCAAACCCATAAGATAAGTGATCACTGACTGACATGACTACCTTGAAGTAAAAACCTAGGCTGCCTAGCCTTTATGAAATGTCTCTCAGTTTAGAAAGAAAGGAAGCATAACTGTGGGTCTAAAGGTTATGTTGTCCCTTTAATGCAAGTGCATCATTTTACTGCTGCTAATGAGAGTTGCGAGCAAGCAGTGAGGGGGAAAGGAAGGTTACTAGGCAGTAACATCAATTCTTTGAGCGTTCGCTCTGGGAATTCCCAGTTGGAGGATACGTACGCCGCCCTATTCCTGCAAAGCTTTACCAACTTTCTGCTCCAGGTTCCCAACCACTTCCCACAGAAGCAGGGGTTGAGAAGTCATCTCCTACCAACTCAGTGTCCTTCAGAGGACAAAAGATCCCAAGGATGAAGAAGTGATATTTAAAAGGAAGCGTGAGCGTGCAAAAGCAACGGTCTTTAAAGAAAGAAAAAAAAAAGTTAAGCAACCTTCCCCTCAAGGTGGCCTCCGCATATTTCCATCTATGGGATCTAGTGAATGCTCTAAACCTCAAGAAGGTGGCACGCATGATGAGTTGGATTTAGATGGAAACAGTGCAACTACCCTGCACAGTCCCCAGCCATGACATATGCCCAGGTGAGGAGCGGTGGAAAGCAAGTAGCAGTCCCACGGGTTTCTAAGATGACACTCCAGGGGGTAACCTGACAGAGCAAGCTAACAACCTGAGACAATCCATTGTGAATAATGCATATAATCTGTACCAGCGCTCCGCTAGATAAATATGGGATAAACAGACTTTACGTGACTTTCCAAACACCATAAACCAGTTCACACCAAAAATCAATGCTCTCAAAATATCGGATAGAAAGGATGTTCCCCCAATGCTAATTTGGGATAACAGTGGCCTGGTATAAGCGGAACCCTGAATGCTCTTAGGTAAAAATGCTGGATGACTGCAAAAGCTAAGGTTTTTTTCCCCCAAAGATGGCCACGAAAGGGGTTCAGAGAGAAGGAGAAGAAAAGAGGTCAGCGGCAAACCTGAAACCTGTTCCTCCTGCAAACATAATTGCAAATTAAAACACTCTCTTCTAAAGGGACAGAACTTTGAGCACTCTCTCAAAGGTTAAAAAGGTATATCCAATGTCAAAATTGAGATCTCTTGTGAGAAAGGCTCTCTGACTGGAGGACACATTAACCAGTCCTCCAAGGAGTCTAGCAAGAACAGGAAAGCTGAAGACTTCACAGTTGACATTTGGTGGTACAGCAGATAAGGACACACTGACTGATGACAGACAGGCTTGGGACAAATACTTTAAAAACACCAGATAGTCCCAAAAAAACTAATAATGAAATGATGGCAGAGCATGGGAATAGGCTGTTATCTGCTGACCCAGAAAAGAAGGCTGTTTCCAACTGGGGAAACATTTGAGTAAGAAAAAGCTTTCTTGGGTTACAACAAGACCGTCTACAGGCTATATCAGAAGTTAGCCACGTGTGGCAAAGTGGGACTCCCCAACTATCCACAGTGCTAGTTTCCCCACTTGCCTTTGGGCACGCCACACACCTGACTCTCCTGCCATGCCTTGTTGTTAATTCATTAGGATACTAATTAAGGTGAGAGGCTGCCCATTCTTGCCCCGAAAACAGGGGACGCTATCTGCGGCA